AAAGAGAGAGAGAGAGAGAGAGAGAGAGAGAGAGAGAGAGAGAGAGAGAGAGAGAGAGAGAGAGAGAGAGAGAGAGTTCACAGGAGAAACAGCGGCCACACTGTTTCCAATGCTGGAAGACCATACCACGTACAATCAGATACCAGCATCCTCCAACAAGATACATCAAAATCGGAACTCCAAGGGTATACCAATGAAGCACCGTACGCGATCTCCGACACGTTTCGCTGTGGGCGTACTCCACAGGCTCATCAAGGAGAAAGTATCTTGATCAAGCATTATAGCGTGGTGAGAGGGTTAAGGCCATCCCTCCCACCAACTAAAAAAACCGGCAGCCTACTCGTGTCAGTCACTTCCAAACCATTCACTCGTGATCCCCGACCACCTACACAAGGAAGGTACCAACTCCCCTCCATTCTCCATTTTTACTTTTTTACTTTTTTTCTTCTTTCTCTTTCTCCATATGGCATATCCCTGATCAATCCATCCACCCAGCCCCTGATCTTCCGCTACCTCCATCGTAGTACAATCCATCTGGATCCTCCCATACTGAGTACACAGTTCAGCACCTGCGCACCACATTCCCTTCATCCTGTATCCTCGCCGCTTCAAAGTCGTTCCTCTCGAACCCAGACCTTTGCTTAACCACAGTACTATCCTCATGTCACAGCTTCATACTCTGCCTCAATACCGCGACGCGTCGAGCGCTCTGCAGCAATCGAACCCTTTCCCACACTTCTGCTCATTTCTCCAAACGACCTCCTTTCCCGGAGATGCTAGCTCTCCCCATAGCCATGTAGAGTTTATGTTCGCTCTTCCTGTGACAGAGGCCGCGCTCATCGGTTGTCCCTATAAATGCTGCCTGGACTATACCCACCACATATACGGTGCAGGACCGCCGCTTGCCCTTTCGCTGCTTATGCATGTGCCTCGACCAATCCTACATGGGCCCACCCGACGGTATCTGGACTACAGAAAACCTGCCAAGCCTCAGATGGCCTGTTCCGAAAACCGGGAAAAAACTTTCCTCCTACCTTTTTCTTTCCGTACACATATCCCTCGGGAAGCCATACTCATGAGATACTGAAATCACCGCACAAGCACACTAAAAACAAAAACAAAAATTGGAAACAAAGATAAAAAAATAAACAAATTAAAATAAACAAAAAAACAAACAGCCCACCTAGCTTCCTACCTTAAATACTTATGTAAGACGGGGTAGACCTCGAGGAGCAAAGCCCCCCAGTTACCACCGCCCACTCTAGCAAATGTAGCTAGAGAACCGAGAGAGACCTCCAAAGGATACCCCCGGAGGTTAGATTCCATAACCAGAGCAGAAAAAACAGCAATCACATCTTTTTCATCGGTAGCTAGTCTACTGATTCTCAACATGCTAGCCGTCAACACCGCGCTCTTCATCTTCTTGAAAGAAAAGGGTGCAAAGTCCTGCATAGACTGGACCTTCAGTCTTCCTTCACATAACAAAAACATCTGGTTCCTGGTTTTGGGGATAATTTTCACTTCCATCGGCCCACCGGGCAGATGTTGACCTGAACCACAGTCCCCAATGTGTTCGAGTTCCTGTCCTTGCAAACCAATTTAAGACTACTATCATAGCACTCTTCAAATTTCGATAGGATCGCACCAGCTTTCTCCCACAATTTCAGACATGTAGATCGCACACCCACTAATATCGCAACATCATCGATCATCCATACCCCTCTGACCATCCAGCGATCAGACCCAAGTGATGAAAGAACGACACATTCCACCTTCGCACTCACAAGGCAAGCAAGGGGTGGACTCAAATTTCTTCCCATGGGGATACCTGCTATTTGTCTCAACACCTGCACACCACTCTTAACATAGGCATGAGCTAGATCGTAAGCCATCATCACCCTAACTAAATAAAAACCCAGTGTGACGAAACCACATTCTGCACTCAAACAGTCAAACTCCTTGACATTTTGCATTCTTTCCCTCTCCAGCTCACCTTCACTGCTTCTAGTCCTCTGGCCTCATGAATCCCAATGGTCCATTCAACCTATATGTTGCACGCCCGGCCGCGGCCGGGGGGTCCGAGTCGGCCGCGGCCTAGGCCGATGACTGAATCGGCCCGGTTCGGCCTAGGCCGACCTGCCGAGTTCGGTGCAGTATTTTTTTTCCCCATTTTTTAAGTGTAAAAAATATATATCGTAAAATAGAACTGCCCGGTAAACCGTAGGCAGAGAGGGAGAAGAGGACAACAAACGAGGGGCTGTGACAAACTGTTTCGTCGGAGTTTCACCGACTCATCAGGAGGCTGAACCCTCAACAGTCTG